TTGGCCCTCCCTGTATACTCGAAATCCCTGTGATCGGGTAGGCGTGGCCGCATGTTTCAACTTAACCTGAAGGGGTCTATGCTTCTGGTGAGATATTTTCATCCTTGGCACAAACTGTTATTCCTGCCCTCTGTCCACACACAGAACCAAGGATCGGCAGTTGTCCAGGACTGCTGGAATATTCCATGAGCAACCAGTTCCGTACCATGTTCAAATGTCACGCCTACTCTGGCTCAGGGATAAGGAGTGTACATGCAGTCGTGTCTAACGTAGCGGTTATTGGCACGGGAAACTCGTCCAAAATTGCTTCATATAGAAAAAAGTTTTTTTTGTAGGCTTTGCCCGTTTCACTTCGCTTTTTCGCCATTTTCCCCACTATACAGCACCACTGCTACCATTTTGGACCGAGTACCAAATTGTCGTGCCTTCGAATGCCACCCTCCTTCTTACACAGATCCGAGTCTATGTGTCCTGCGTGAACCTCAATGCGATTACCGTATTACAGTGAGTCATTCATCATCATTCAGCTTGCCCTGCGCTCGTGTCACCCGTTCATGGGAATGTCGCGGGCTGACACGTAACAGCCTCTATTCAACCATCAACGTTTTTCATGGTTTACAATCTCATCTGCACTGATTTGACTACTACTTAATGAGCTCTCATATACTCGGAATCCCTGAGATCGGGTAGGCGTGGCTGCGTACTTGATTTTAAAATGGCGGCGGCCCAGGTTTTCGTGAGATATTTTCATTTTGGAGCAGTCGTAATCATGTCTACATCTAACACAGAACAAGATAGCAGTTGTTTCAAACTGAAGTATCCCACGAGTAACCCATACTATCCATCCAAAGCCACGCCTACTCCGTCTCAGGGATAAGGAGTGTTCTTCGTGGAGGCGTTCTTACGATCCAACATTTGGCGAAATATTACTGTTGATGTCTTGTCTACCACAAGATGTCGCTACTCACAACACCCTTTTTCCTGAAGTTCGGGGCAGAATCTCAAGTTAGAAAGGGAATTGTACTTGAGGAGATTTCGTCCTATTGAACATGAATATCACCTCCGCATATGGATAAAAGGACTCTACTGGGGCGCGCGGCTACAGATACAGATTCCAGAGAAAAACCAACCATTCTCCGAAAAGTATAGGATAATGAATGCCAATTTTCTAAAGCGCTAGAGTAGGAAAGCATTGAGCCTAGAGGAAGGGCTTCACTTAAAACCTGCACAACTGACTTACATCATGGCTGAAAAGCGTACTGTCAAAAGAAATAAAAGAAAGTGCGGGGCGGAGCTAGTGCAGTGGCAAGTGGCACGCTTGTAGCGCGCGGTCCGTAATCAGATCACGGATCGACTCCTACTTTTGCCAATAAGACTTTCTTTCCTTTGAGGCCTGTGAACACAGATTTGTCTGGGAGGATAAAAACACTGGTATGTATGTCATCTTCCCCACACAGGTCGTTGTATAGGCCACATCGCATTAAAGCTTTATGCCCTTTCGCATTACGCATTTGACTCCCAGGTGGAACTGCAGGTGGCTGTCAATACAAGTCTCATCTGGGCCAGCTGAGGTTATATGGTGTAGAACAGCTCAGTCAGAGTGTGGCATCATGATAGAAGAGATGACGTTGATGAGCGACCCCTCAATGTCTTCCACCGACACGACCCCTTCTCGTTCCCGCTATCCCAGCTACAATTGTCCTGAATGTTCCTAACTTCCTGCCGCTTTTCCCAATTTTCCAGTTTTTCTTTTTCCCTAAGAGGGTAAGAGAGGGGGAGCGAATGGGAAGGGTATTCAACACCTATGAAACGAAAAGAGAATCGGGAAAAATCAACAAAAAAATTTGCCATGACCAGATGCGATCCTCATCCCTCTTAAACGATCAAGCCACCCCTCAAAGGCGATAGGGCTTCTTACTAAATCAGATGCTCCACAAATAACCAATCTTGTATAGACGGTAGTTTCTTTTCGTATTGGAATAGTTCAAGCCCCATATCAGCAACCAGAAAAAGTCACAGTTTTTATGATGTTTCTGACCTGCTTCTCAATAATTCAATAAAAGCCAACCCTTTAAGAGGAACAGGAAGCTGGTAAATTGTCTAGAAAAACATCGGGGTCCACTCTTTTTAATTGCGCCCCATTTCCCAGATAGTTAGCCACGGGCTCAGCGGAGCCTTTAATACTTACTGCGTGGATAGATTTTTGTGATGTCCGACCGCAACACATGATATGGGAGATGGTAGGAAGTGAGTAAGAGACTTATCGGTGGTCCTACTATCCAGAGGTATTGTCGGCTAACCCTATATCTCGATACGGAGTGTGTCTCGTTATTCATGCACTGCGGCTGCCCTATTATCTTCACTCCCGCTCTCCTATGCGCTAATTACTCGTTCGTCGTTAACCCATGTGAATCCTACTATTTCCCTAGAATAAACTCACCTTTCATATCGACTCGTGAGCCGCTCTATCTTGTCAGTCATTTGCTTCCTTTGCTTTGAGGTTTTCGATAATCAATCAACTCATTTGCTCTCTCTGGTACTCCATAATTTGACGATTTTAATTTTTTTACCAGTCGAAAGCATCCGAGAGCCACTAACTGACTGAAGTACTTATTTATTTTTTTACGACAACTCTTCCTTTATTTTGCCCGCGTTTTTCATGGGTGGAGGTAATAAAGTAGCAAGCAGCGCCAATTATCTTCGGGCACAGTCTGGGAGTCAACTGCTGAATCGAATGCCACCTGGGCTCACCACATTTAGTTGGAGCCGCACTTCCTAGAGATGAAAGAATTGTTGCTGAAGTACAGCCCAGACCCCAAATAACTTATTCACCGTAGCGAGCTTACCCTTCTTCAAGTCGACCAAATCGCACTACCGAACGCATCAAACTGTGGCGGCGATACGGAATATCAGCTATTAGATCCAATTTTTCGCGAGCGCAAATACCAGACCGTCATGCCCTCTAACGACCACGTTGGACAACTGACAATAATGGTGTGCCCTGTTCGGAGTAGGTTGGTTTGTAACAGAATCATCTGGGAAGCCAAAATCATCAATGATTTCTGTGCGCCTCACGGCGCAGTCATGCTTTTATGGGTGTCGCTTGAGCCCCAATCAGGGCACATCATTGGTTAGGGATTCTTGAATCCGAATCGTAAGAGCCCCCCCCCTTTTGGATTTTGTTATGACCGCCTTCCGGCGCCCTCTGTCCCTCCTCCAAGTCGGCCGTCGAGTGGGGGGCGCGGGGGGGGGTAGTTAGTACGTCATGAAATAGGAAAATCTTGAAAAGTCAACCGACCACTTCCAACACTCCCAACCACTCCTAGAAAGCCAAAAATAAATAGGAACCCCTCGCCTCCCTCCCACCTCCCAACAATGACAACTACGATACCCCCCTTTTTTTAAATGTCCGTGAAGCGAGAATAATCAACTATCGAAATAAATTTTTCTCAGCCTAAATACGACCTTCCTCCTTGTTGGGGATTCCCTAACAACGATGTGCCCTGGCCCCAATTGCCACCATAAAGTATGCCTTTCTGGAATAGGGCACGGCGCGAAGTGACGAAAACCAAACGATGTTATGGCACTGGTTGCAACTATCTGCACAAAACTACTAGTCCTAGTTACAGAGGTCTAGTTTTGTCGTCATGCAAGAATCATCCTCTAGGTACTTGAAGTAACTCACGCTTTCTTTTATAATTATGATTAAACTTTGACCGTTTTGGATGGATTCCAGCAAGAATTTTTTTCATCCGTAAGAAAGCACTACGAGGTGCGTGCCTCTACGTCGAACGAACCGGCAACCTTTTGCAATCTTCTACCTTCAGGCGCTTATTGGTACTAATGTTAGAAATAAGTGACATTACTGCCTATGATCCAAACTGCAAGTTACCTTTTCCTCCACAATTCTCCCCATCTAACTTTTCTTCCTGCCCACGGTCGATAATTTCCTGGTACTGCTTGACGGTGTAGAAACGGTCTTACGGGAGTCCTCCGCTAAACCCTATGCTCCCGTCCGTGAAGGTGGTCGCAGGTTCCTGTGGAATGATTTTTCGCCATATTAAAATTCCAGAGATTTTTGTCCGCTCTAGCAATGTAAGGCAACTTGCCCCACACGACTGACTGAACGAAAGATTGGAAAATAATTGATATCTCTTAAGCAATTCACTTTTTGAATTATCGAGCTCGTATTTTTTGAACGCTATTCCAGCAATGGACCCACATGGATCACTCCATGTGATAGTTTTCGCGCGTGTTGTTATTTTCCTAGGATTTTATGTGTACCTACGGGCAGTTTCTCTGACTAGCACGATCGGTTTAGCGCCTTTATCTGTGCTGACAGATCTCGAACCAATTATCCCATCCTAAAAGGTTTCGGGCTCGGCTGACCAAAGAAGAGAAAAGTCCCAATGACCGCTGTCGCTGCCTGCAGACGCTGGCTCGGATAAAATGCAAACTATTATGTGCACCTTTCACGAAACCTGATCAAATCTTCTTTGTAGGCCCACCCAACAGGCAAAATTTCATAGAATGTGGAGAAAATAAACTATTTGCGTTTCTCTGCCAGTTCCTAGCTGAAGGGATAGAGGTCGACACTTTTATCGTTAGTGAATTCCTTCCTGGCATCCGTTTTCTCGTATTTGCTCTGTGCAGCCACCTACCTGTACAGTACTACGCTAAGTCAATGCTCTTATCCTTCAAAAACAAATCTTTTGCCAACTCATCGCCTAGAGAGATCGAAGGTCTTCCCTGGAATCCCAAAACTCTTGGTCCTTGGCCAGAAATGGGTATGGGTGTTGTCTGCCACTGAGCTTTATGTTCCTCTCCTGTCGAATGATTTTCATATAATCGTCCTTCTTTCGCAGCGCCTGTATGCTCTAGCGCGAACTTGTACTAGTACTAACTGGAACAGTTTAAGTCAAGTCACTTGTTTTTCAGACACGAGCTCCTTCGCATCGCTATCCTTCAGTAGACGTGCCGCTGCCATGCGGTGTCTTCTTCTGTTAGCTTTATTTCAAGTCGTTCATTCAGTATTGGACGCATCTTGGTGGTAAGTTGAGTTTCTATTGAAGGCTCTTGTACATTTTGGAATTTATTATGATTACCTCAAATTATTATGATTACCTCGAGCAACTGGACAAGGCACGTCCTAGCGCTAGGAAAATTTCTGTAATATACGACCCCTTTCAAAAAGTCCTTTGGTACGAGAGCCTATTCCCTATCCCTCACTCTATATACCATCTTCCTGAATTTTTTACCCCCAATTCTCTTAAAGGCACATTCCGCGATAAAATAAGGCTATGACCTCTCGAATATGTCTGGACGATCCGGAAGGCGATTTTTGAGGCTGCGCTACTTTCAAGATGTGAAAAACGGCAAGAAATCCGCTAGAAGCTGACTAATTAGGCCCATGGACACCCCTTAGGCCCATGCCGACCCTCACCGGCTGCTAGCTACTAGCTTATAGTAGCCACCACTATGTTATCTTTCTCTATAACATTTCGGACTGCTTTTTCTGCTGCTTTTCTCCGCTAATCAGATACTTAGCACTTTTTTGTGCCTATTTGAGTTCCGTTTCCCGCAATTTGCGGTCGCGAACTGTGCCTTTAATTCTTTTCCCCGAGAATCTTCCAGTTTTCCTCTCTGAAATGAGAAAAAATACCTGAAAAAGTCAGCAATGGAAAAGGCTCTCCTCAAAAGCCGAAAGCGATCCCCCCCCTTTCCCTCCGGCGACTATACGCGACTTCTTTCTGTGCTGGTCCCTGACGTAATATGGCCCTGGAAGTAAAGCACGAGGTAATTACAGGAGGATCAATTTTTTGTTTTTTTTCCATTTTTGAACAGTTGTGAATGCTGCTGCCAAGTAATCGCCATTTAAGGTCATCGGTTGCGCAGCTTTCCACATCCCTAGCCGGCCAAAGTGCTCGGCCGGTGTGCTCATTACGAGGGCTCTCACCAGGCCAGGTTAGTCAGCAAATGTTTTCGTTTTTCAAACAGTTTTTCCTAAGATGACCTTGCACATTAATTGAAGCTGAAGCTAGCTGTAAGCCTGAGCTCGGAACGTTTTTTTGAGATCGTGAGCTCTAACTCAGTCTTTTATCGTCGCAGGTTACGGGGTTGACCTATAAGTAATAGCGTTTTTCTGACTTAAACTTTTCCAATACGTATCGTGCCAGTTTCTAATAGTCGCATTTTGTAGAAGATTGTCTGTTCTAGTAATCTGCCTTTGTTTTCAGAGGACCCATTTTTCTTTTTGATGACTCAAAGTGACCAACTCCCCGCCCCACAATTCCTTAATTTTTGGATAAGACACAAAGAGGGCGCAACCACAAATGAAGTTAACAACGCCAATGTTAACATAATTCCAAGCGCTGTCTCTTATCCAGTTAGTAGATTTGTGAAAAATTTCTTATACTGAATAACTTGAAAAAAATGTTGTAGGCGAGAATATGCGACCTGTTCAAAGATCACATGCCAGCCGTCGGTCAAGGAGCGCAAACAGCCATTCAGGTACATTCACAATACACGTAGACGAATGATTTTAGGCTTTTTTTGTCTCCTTTTGGGACATTTGTTTCGAGCTCAGATGACTACCGTAGCAGTTTGAGATCGAATCTCTGGGGCTTTCGCCAGCAACGCTTCCTAATTCGTCCTTAACGATGAATTTTTTTCTGAAACTACAGCTCTGAAATCAAACTACCTCCCGTTTTCTCAGAACAGTTGTGATAAAACTATGCGCAGTTTTTGTACAAACGGCTTAAACGCTTGCACTTGGAATGAACTTGAATCCTGCCGCGTCGTGAACTGGCTGAGCGCTCTGGTTAGGTCAGGCGTGGAGGTGTCTCAGAGGTGCGGTGGTGCAGGGTACAGCATGGGGATAGGCGAAATGTCGGTGAGAGTACGACCCCCCCCCTTCCTGATGGGGTACAGGCCACGACCCCCCCCCCCCTATTTTTTCGCGCGTGGTACGACCCCCCCCCTCAGCTCAACCGGCTCTTTCGCCCACTGACGAGCGATGAGTATATAGTCGGCGAAAAAGTTGTCGAGCGGGGGGGGGGGGGGGGCATATACAATAACTATGCAACGTATATCCGGGGGTGTACAGGGTGCATATAACACAGAAAATTAATACGACCCCCCTTTTCCACAAGAAAAAATCAACTATCAAAATAAATTTGTCTTCCCAAATACGACCCCCTCCCCAGAGCAAAAGTACGACCCCCCATGTGTTTCACACAACGATGCTGTACCCTGGGCGGTGCGCTGGAATTTGGCTCAGTGGGGGGGGCGCCTGCCTTATTTTCACCAACTACTTTCGCTTGCTTTTTTCAACAGTTGGTAGAGACAGGCTGACGTCTCGCCAAACCCGGATCCTCGCCCTCGATACGCTCCGGCATCCGTAGCGAGCAGGACTATATATTAAAGACGCAGGACGACAAGGGGGGCTAGTGATAAGTGTTGGGATTGGTACTGAAGGGTCTCTAATGATATATTGAAAGCCCTAGACAGTGCTATCCACGTTCGTGAAACTGACCAGCCTCATTTTTAAGCATTTTCGTGAAACATTCAGGAGTGCCAATATCAGTTCAAGTCCAATCGATGGAACTGCTCTACACCTTATGGCTCAGGAATCGTAGGACCTATTCACAAACTAGGTAAGCCTTCTTGTGACTGTTTCTGAATAAAAAAAATTACAATAATGGGAACCATTGCTCTTTGTAGGAACACGAGAAGCTGCTTTCACCTATGCTATTTTGTCTGCCGGTGTCACCCATGAGATCGGCAGGAGGTGTAAACAAGGTGTGATACATCTACTGCTAAGAGCCTCTACCGTATTCTGGTCATCCTTAACGCTATTAAGGTCTGCTAGCGTCATGTGGATGTTCTGACGAAGCAAAACCAAAAAATGTGGCTGATGACTGGACATGGGGAGGCTGCGGTGACAACGTTGACTACGGCTATCGATTTGCTAAGTCAGACTTCATTTACCGTTTTTACTTCAAGTTCTTTATACTATCAGTCACACAATATGAGGTACTTAAGTACGTATTTCCGTGCTGCGGTACTTGCTTTGTATTGATGTCATGATGATTTCCACATATATCCCCTAGGCATACTCCTTGCAAGTACTTAATGCACTGAATTACCTTTAGTGGCCTTACCACTGATTCACGGTTTCGTCTCGCAATTTTGGATCATCCTCACGTTTAGGGACATTTTGCTTACTGTCAAGAATCGGTTTCCAAGGAAGCGGTAGCGATTTCAGTATCATGGCGCATAGTATGTAGGTACAGAACACAGCGAAGGTTGACTTTGAAAGGTTATTTTGTTCTTAATAGCTGATTTTCCCCTATTCCAATGTACTTAGTTTACTGTGTTACGGTATTTTTGCTGGACACACCGCACCCCTTGCCCTTGTGCGAGGCAGGACTATGTCCTGTTTTCGGTAGTTGGTCGGAGGTAAATAAACTATAAACTCCCACCCCTCTGGACCGCAGATTTACTGGAGAAGCTGCTATTGAGGTGGGTAATTTGCGAAAAGATGGTCGCCCCGAAAGGGAAGTTCTCCAGAGGGTGGTAGCCTAAAAATTGAAGTCTTCGCCGTTGGTCAATCATTTTCAGGGATGCTGCACGCATTCCACTTTACTCAGAAATTGAATACGATGTGGCCTATACAATGACTTGCGGGGGCCAGCCGATGTACAAGTCAGTGTTTTATCCTCCCAGACGAATCTGGTACCAATTCACCGTCCCCGGAGGGTAGAAGGCTTGGTTGCCCTGGGTGGGAACCAATCTGGGATTCGAGCCTCGGACCGCGCGTGTGGTAAGCGTGCCACAACGTACTGCGCCACCTTGGGAGTGCGGGGATCGTAATCAGCAGCAATTGTCCACAACACGATGATGTAATCTGCCAAGTCGGATTTTCAGTACCTGTACTTATCGCACTATGACTCAAATTTGACTGTGTCCTTAGGATAAGTGGTTAAACGATAATTTTGGTGAATATCCAGCCACTATTCCGAAAAGTGGGTTGTAACTGGGTAATAATCTACTTTGTATAGTTCCTTCACCGAATAAAAGATTGACTGAAGGGAAGAAGACCATGGCATCATTATGGTACTTTTCCGAGAAAGCCGAATTTCTTCTGCTGAATACTAGCGTTTTTGTGTTAGTTCTCATGATTGTGGCATTGGTAGTTAAAAGTAATGGGCACCATAAATTGATACTCGGCCTAAAATGGTAGCAGGGGTGCTACAAGGGGGAAAATAGTGAAAAATCGAGTGGAACAGTGGAAAACCTGCAAAAAAGTCTTGATTTTACATGACCCATAACACAATTCCAGACGAGTTTCCGGTTAAAATCGTGCCAATAACCGCTACGGTAGACAAGGGTACATATTAGGGTGTCCGGAAGGTTTTGGAAATTTCAACCAGCTCATCCAACACTTATCAACAACAATAAGAGATAGTAGTTCATAGTTATAATAAATATTGTCCATCCTATGTCCCTTACCTTTTGGGCGGGATTACCTTGCGTGGGAGCTAGAACTAAGCGAGTACTGAGAATGAGGGGCGTACGCAACATCTAAGCTAAACTTCCATGGAAGAGACCGATTGATCTCCTAGTATAGATAATTTTGAAGTGCACAAGTAAAAGACGTTGGGAGTCGTGCGCGTTCGTACATTTTTCAGGTAATGTCAAATCATACCAACAATGGAGAATAATACCAACCAGCATCAGTATTGATCTACAAACATTTCTCTTTCTCATAGCACTTGATATATGACTTTCTGTTGGGGCATTCGCTTGCTACACTTCTTCAAACTAAAAGTGTGAAATTTCTCAAAACTTTCCGGACAACCTAATATATACTCAAGATCCCTGAGATCGGGTAGGCATGGTCGCATGTTTCAACTTACTCTTTAAGGCGTCTACGCTTGTGATACGATCTTTTCATCTCAAAGCAATTGTTGTCGTGCCTCTGTCCAGCGCAGGAACAAGACGACTGTTGTCCCAGACTGGAATATTACCACTAGTAACCAAGGTTCCTGTACAGTGTTTTCGAATGCTCCGCCTACCGATCTCCCCGGGAAGATTAGATATATTGTACTCTACAATCGTACGTATAATCCAGCAGCTCGCAGCTGTTTTCTTACTATCTCGCTTCATATTGCCTTTCACAGCTGAAGCGATACAAGGGCGGTCTTCAAGCGCGGTGGGCGTTCGGCGTCAGGTGTGTCTTCGCAGCTTGATGGGGCGCTATAATGGGCCGCTCCTTGGCTAAAACTCCATCGCAGCGCGTTCCTGCGGAGCGCCCGAATGACCCTGCTGGCCGTATTAATCATACAGCGTCTTTGGAATTTTCGCGTGATCACTTAACAGGTACATCTCCCTGAAATGCAGTGCTTCTAAGCAAATTGTTAATAGAACGCCAATTGTAAGGCACGGAGCTATCAACCTTCCCGAGTGTTCACAATAGCGTGGCGAAGGGGCTATTACGTTTCACAGTCTCCTTGCAAAATGTTCTAACTGAAAGCAAAACTTTTTGAAAAAGTAAAGCACTGACTAGAATAACACTACTCCTCCTGAAGAAGGATCGTGTCACATGCGACACTTTATCGACGTGCTCCGCGATGAAAAACGGCAGGCTTTAATTAGACGTGCATGCAGCAAGCGCTTGTCAAAAAGGCAGAGTCTCATCAGGGTGCCGTTTTTCGGTATACTCTTCGGAGAGCTGGACGTCTGCTTTGGCAGTTTACTCATTCAGCAATTAGTTCGACTTCCAACTGCGTTGGAGAAATATATGTAAACAAAGTTGAAGGATAAATAATTGACAGTAGTTTAACACTTTGGTCTGCTGAGTGACAGGCTTTAAGAATGAAGTCCAAAGAAGCGAAAAAAAATGAAATTAAGGTTAAGTGAATATAGGACAAAGGTTTAATAACGCTAACGAGACCCTGTCATCCCTTTTGAAAACGTGTCCCATCTGGTCTTCTTTCTTTCCGTAGTCATCCTCCATGAAGAGCGGAAGGACAAAGCATTTAGCGATGGTCAGTTCATTTGGGGATGCGCTATGCATTCCACGTCAGTTTAGAATGGTAGTGATTTCGAATGTGAAATACTCCCATGTGCAAGCAGGGGTCTTATCGAGGTGTTCTTGACGGTTTTCTTCACTGTTTTCTTCATGCTCATGTCGCTTTGCACTATGTGGTCGCCATATTCGTCATTTTGTCACCATATGAAAAAAGAACATAACATAGGAAGAACGGAATTACAGGGAAGAACATAATGAAGGGCAGGACAAACCGAGTTCCTTGGAATATTAGAATAACGCTTGCCAGTATATTGTACGGTAATAGTGTAATATGTTCGAGGTATTCGGAGTAGCTGCAAAGTAAGAATAAAAACAATTATATGTACTGCAAAGAATAAATGGCATGGTTTTGCACAAGCTCTGCATACCTAGCAAGTCATAGAAAATCTACACATTGGTGTGATACCAATTTAACAAAATTATCCAAGCTTCGAACCAGAGCAATCTTAGAGAGCCATTTTTAAGTGCACCTAATCCTGTATCGTGCCTTGTTACCTGTTTTGTACAAATTCCAAGCTTATTGCTTGTTACATCGGTACAGGATGTACTAACAAGTCCATAAGGCTGGCAAAAAAGCGTTGATATAGCACAGATATGTGGTCTATGCTTCCTGTTGAGGGGTAGACGTCGTATTGACGTCATATAGACCACAATAAGCTCGTCATCGACAGTGAAATAGTGGCAGGCTTTTCTGAGCTAAATAGTCATGAGTTACACATACTCATCTACACGATTCGACAGGAATAGACAGGCGGGGTCGTTAGGCCGACGGAGAGGTGGGGGCATTCTGCATTCTCGCTGCTATTCCCGTCTCGAGCCTTAAGCAGATGATCTATTAACATCTGATGAAGAATCTGAAAAAGATACCAGGAAGACCAGTAGAAAGAGAACATGCCAAAATGTCTTCTCGTCGCTTAACGCATTCACCTGCGCAGGAGGGAAATAGCGTAATGAGTCGGTCAAAGGGGTGGGGCGGTTTAGTTTGGTATTCTCCATCGACGTGCAGATTTGTAAGCTCTTGTGAAGCCGCGAAAGGGGAGAATGTACTCTGCGAAGCTTGTACAGGCCACTTTATGAACATTTGTAAACGAATGCAAAGCTAATACACTTCGGCAGCTCCATTTCGCAGCTTTGCAAGATATGAAGAGTCTCACCAAAACTAGAACACTGGGAAAAAAACTGGCTAGCTGGCAATGTAATTGCCCGCTCCTGTAAGCCCAACATAGTCCAACAGGGTACACAGGTCGACTTTAGTGTTTCCAGCTTCTTTGTTTGTTGATATGTAGATGAATTTATTCGAAAAGCACTGGATTCAAGCCGTTAACTGCCCGGCGTATATGAGAACAACCGTGTGGTTTTAACCGGCTGAAGTATTTCGTTACAGACTGAGTCACCTTTCATCACTATTCCTCTCATTTCAGAAACTTCATTGATATCCGAGAAAAGGAAAAGGATCCACGTAGAGACCAAGATCAAGGCAGATCCCTAATGAATCGAAGGAACAACGAAGCAGGAAGAAAGGTACGAATTTTGACTTGTTGAGGCGTCTGCTCGAGCAGGAGCTGTCTCCGCATGTCCAGCTCTCAAATCCTGCACTCCTTTCAAGATTCTCAAGCGTCATACGGCACCAAAGTGTAAGTGCCATGGAGTCTCTGGTTCGTGCAACCTAAAGACTTGCTGGATGCAATTACCAACGATGCGACAAGTCGGCAACATACTTCAGAACAAGTATAAAAATGCGATTAGGGTTCAGGTACGTGTTAGTGACAACCGTTTCTGTGACGTAGTTTACAGCTGATATCGCCGCAGTCAGTCGGGGCAGAGTCAAAGGGCAAAATGAGGCTATCCACGGGGTTTCCACCACTGCTTTTTTTTCTTCCAAAATCAATCACTTATCTGTCGCTCTTGGTAAAAAAAACCGCTGGAGCTTCATTTTGCCCCCCCCCCTGACACCACCCCGACTAAATGGACGATATCAACTACAATTATCATTTCAGGTGAATTCCCGAGGTAACTTGCAATTGGTCGCCGACCAGCAGCAAAAAGAAGCTCCAGAAGGCGGTGGAAAACGGAAAACGAGAGCGCTGCCAACAGATCTCGTCTATATGGACGACTCGCCAGACTATTGTAGACAGGACCGAGCGTCGGGAACTCTTGGTACACATGGGAGGATCTGCAGGTGGACATTTTGGACCTAGTAGTTTGGATTTCCCCACTGAATCTTATGCGTTTCAGGAGGGGTGCAGACGGGCCTGATGGTTGTGATTCGCTGTGCTGTGGACGGGGCTACAACACCTATACCGTGGAGCAGACAACGAAATGCAACTGCAAATTCGAGTGGTGCTGTAAGGTGGTGTGTCAGATGTGTACGAACACCACTCAAGTCGATATTTGTAAATAAGCTGTCACACTTCGACCAGATGATTCTTCTTTACCAGTATTTCATACAGTTGAGTATGTACAATGTGTTGAAATGAGTGAATAAGCGTATGCCAGCGCTAATTGCTTTTCTACTTGTACCGTAATCTATTGTGTCTCAAAAATTTGCTAGTTCAGTTTGAATGTACAGAATTAGCCGTGAATCCCAGATGTGAAGGAGGCACGGATTCTGAGACAGTCTCCTCACCGTTTGCTTTACGCCGCATTGTTAGAAACCCTTAAGGTTAACCCCCAAAATTAATTTACTTAGTAGAGGCAGTTTTTGTTAAGGGTAAGGAAAAGCTCGCGATCTAATCTTAGAAATCAATCAAAAATCAAATCTTAGGAACTGAACAATCAAAAAACAGAAACTGCGCGATCGGTGGATGCTACTGTTCTGTGTTTATACGTTGGTTGACTGCACCTGTTGTGTTCCTAGAGAAAGCCCATGATGGTAGAAATTTCGAGAATCGGACCGTCCTGATGTGAATTCCTCTAGCAGATTTCTATCTTTTTCTTGTTCCCCGCCACATATGAATATAGTATTTATACATACTTCATGTTCTTGTTCTTTGTTTCATAAATATTTCGACGATGATTTTATACAGTGTTTAATTACGTTTTCAACGTTATCATAGGAACATAGCTTGCGTGAAGTATCCGACAAGTGAGCCGACGAACGAAGGATCAAACGTTTCTAACCCTTG